TGTCTGCCCCCTTCTGTTGCTGTCTTCTACCAGCTGATGAAGACTTTTTTGTTTCATACATCCCCACAATAATCCTTCATTCCTAACCAGTGTTTTAATTGCTGTTTTTATGTTTGTATGTGTTTTAACTCTGTTTTTAATTGTTTTAATTATATGTGTTGCAGGGGATTGATTTTAAAGGTTTTAAAATGTAGTTTTATCATGTATGTTTTAAATTGTTAACTGCCTTGGTGCCCTTGTAAGGGCAGGATAAACATTTTGTAAATAAATAAATAAATGCCAACACATTCCAAGGACAGAGGTTTATTCTGAGGCTTATGCATCAAGGTGCAGAATCTCAACCTGTTGTATTGCAATATTCAGTTTAAAATATTTTTAGTACAGTTATATCCTGGAACCTGGAGATTATTGTTGAAGATCCAATTCCTAACTAATCCCAATGGCCACTAAGAATAACAAGACTTTATATAGACTTATTCTAATGTTAAATGCCTGGGTGAAGAATGATAACTCATCCAGTGCATTTAACTGCCATTTTGAAAATGTGATACTTTTTGTTTGAACATTTGTATGTTGTCCCTCATGAGCACTGTATAAACAGCCAGTCATTCTTGCTTTAATACATTCCAATTTGTAACTCAAGGCATTCCTAAGGTCATTTAGATGAAGTCAGTACATTCCAATTCTATGTAATCCACTTTATTTCACTGTGTTCGCAGTACATCTATGCACCAAACACTTTATCCCTCATAATACCACAGCAAACCAAATTTTGCCACTTGGTCCTTGCCCACAACCACATCAGATGTGGCAACAGTTGATACGTTCAGACGAATGGCACAGCCATGCAGTTTGCATGGCACCACAATTTGCAAACATTTTCATGGCTGACTTAAAGCAACAATTCCTCAGCTCCTACTCATTAACAACTCTCTTATATTAGTAATTTATTAATGACATTTTCATCATCTGGTGACATGGAAGGGAAGCTCTCAAGACACTCTACCACAACTTCAGCAACTTTCACCACACCATCAATGTGAGCATGGGCATGTCTATGCCATAGTTTCATTTTCTGAACATCACTGTATAACTATATAATAGGTACATAAGCACCATCTTATTTTGAAAACCCTCTGACCAGCACCATACATACTTAGAATCGTAGAATCATAGAATGTTGGAGTTGGAAAGGACCTTGCAGGTTATCTAGTCCAACCCCCTGCACTTTGCAGGAGCATAGCTGAAAGATAGCCCTACATACCTACAACATACCCAAAAGATGATCATCCAGCCTCCGCTTGAAAACTTTAAGCGAAGGAGCATCCACCACCTCCCGAGGCAGACTGTTCCTCTGCTCAATCACTCTTACAGTTAGGAAGTTTCTCCTAATATTTAGCCGGTAACGACTCCCTTATAATTTCCACCCATTAGATCTGCTCCATCTTCTACATGACAGCCCTTCAAATACTTGAAGACTGCAATCATGTCCCCTCTAAGCCTTCTCTTTCCCAGGCTAACCATACCCAACTCTTTCAGCCTTTCCTCATAAGACTTGGATTCCAACCCTCTCACCATCCTGGTTGCCCTCTTCTGGACATGCTCAAGCTTGTCAACATCCTTCCTACCTCTGTCCTTGGAATGCGTTGGAATTTATTTATTTACAAAATGTTTATCCTGCCCTTACAAGGGCACCAAGGCTACTTGCATGCTTCCAGCTACCACCTAAAGCATATAGCAGAATCCATAGTTGACAGTCAAGCACTATGTTACAATTGCATGTGCTCCAGTTCCTCATCAGAAGCTGCCTTATACTGAATCAGACGAAGGTCAGTACTGTCTACTTAGACTGGCTGTGGCTGGTGGAGGCCTTTCATATCACCCACAACCTTGAGCCTTTTAACTGGAGATGCTTGGGACTGAACCTGGAACCTTCTGCATGTCAAGCAGATGCTCTACCACTGAGCCATGGCCCCTCCCTGCACAGACTCTCACCTAAAGGATTTACAACAGTCATTATTTGGATGACAATTGTTAAATAGTGGATTCCATGGATGAGCAGGCTCAAATCTAGTGATCAGCTCAACTTTATTTGTGAGTTCAGCAACAGCAAGACAAGACTCCAGAGCTTCAGCTCTGCTAAATAGCATGCAGTTGTCACACCCAAACACCCCCCACTCCCAGTGATAGGCTATTTACATAACATTACTCCTTGATTGGTTTATTCCAGAGTCCTGGTTGGCTATTGTTCTTGTGCTCCAAGCTCAGCCAGTCTCTGGGGTGATTCAATCAAGGATGATTCAATCCCAATACAAAACAACAATACTCACTTAATGAAGTAAAAAACAACAACAGAGCCAGACTGGTACCTACAAATAGTCTACGACAAGACAGGTCCAAGGGAGATAATGGAACCTACAGCTTCAACCAGTCCAGTACATCATTAATGACTGCAGTTTCGGTCTCTTTGTTATGCTACTAGCTTATGTTGGGCCATAAATATAGCCATGTCAATTCTTCAAATTATTACATCCAGAAAAGAGAGTTATTTTGGATTCACCATCTATAGACGTTGGCTCCCCTAGGATTGAATGAAGAAGTGGATTGGACTTGCTGTCTTTGAAAACATCTATACCTGTTATTCTGTAGTTTTTTATGCTGACCTTGTTATTCCCCCCCACGCTGCTCTTTCTCTGTCTCTCTCGTGTCTACCCCCTCCCACCTTGTAATTTCTTCCTTGGCAAGTATTGTGCAATGCAATTGGGTGATTGCATCATCCCAGGTTTCACTATATAATGATGTAAGTGTAGCCGCTTGCAACTTGATCATTACCTTTGATGGAGGTGACACTCATCCTGACCAATGAAATCTCTGATACCAGGTTTGTTGACCAATTTAATTATATTTTAGGCTAAAATTAAAATTACTAAAATGTACAAAAACCTTTTACACGTGCATTTTGGATGTGTGTCAGCATAATACAGAGAATAGTGACCACTGAGGAACGCCCAAAGGGGCCGAAACATGTTTGGTCCTAAGTTAAAAAGTGTTTACCCGTCAAGTGTATTTGTATTAGAAAAGCAATTAAAGTCTGAAATTTAGACTCTTTCTTTTAACCACAGTATGTTTTAACATGTACCCCTTAATAAACATTTATATGTTTATATAATATAGTGTTAGCTTGACCCTCTTAGTTCACAGATATATTTTGGGTTGAGTTCCCCCCCCCCTTTTGTTTCAGTTCTTGCTTACAGATAGCCTGCTATCCTAAAACAACTTCTCACCCACAATGATAAACTACTTAACAGTAACATGGACTCTGGCACCAAGGTCTGCAACAAACCAAGATGCCAACTTTGCTCTCATGTAGGTCCTAGCAACACCATCAGTGAACACAGCAACGTCAGCCATATCATCTTAGGTTTATACTCCTGCTCATCCTCTAATGTGATTTATGCCATCATGTGTCAGCAATGTCCTTACGCACTCTACACAGGACAAACAGGCACTCTCTTCAATAAAGAATTAATGGACTTTAAAGTCTGACATTAGAAACCACAACATTCAAAACCACTGTGGGAACATTTTAACCTTCTAGGACATTCAGTTATTGACCTAAGAGTAGCAGTTCTCTTACAAAGGAATTTCAAAGGGAGATTAGAAAGAGAAACTGCTGAATTGCAACTGATAATGAACCTCTAGACACTGCACCCATCTGGATTTAATGGAGATCTTGGTTTCCCATCTCATTATCAATGCTGATTTCTCTATGCCTACTACCCCTCAGCATATCACACCTAATCCAATCAGGTCTGCTATTGTCATTTACTTGCTATTGTCACTTTACTGCTAATGTCATTTGGTATCTGAAATCACTCCACTTTCCAATGTGTAGGACGGATTCACATTCTAGCTATATTTGAAGTGAGCAGTGACTCAGGAAAGCTCATGCCCTGCCACAAATTTTGTTAACCTTTAAGGTGCTACTGGACTCCTACAGCTTCATGACACTACCTGGCATGGGGGGAGAGGGAGGGATTGCCTCTTCCTGGAAATCAGAGTGGAAGGGTCTTGAGCAGTGTTCCCTCTAAGCTGAGTTAGTGTGAGCTAGCTCACAGTTTTTTAGCCTCTAGCTCACACATTTTAGTCTCAGCTCAGGAAGGGTGGCTCCAGAGCAAACTAATTTATGCAGTATCCAAATCGCTTGCTCACAACTTCAATGCCAGTAGCTCACAAAGTAGATTTTTTGCTCACAGGACTCCACAGCTTAAAGGGAACATTGGTCTTGAGCCCCACTACCCTATTGTAGTACACAGGAGTGGGTTGTTGTTATTTTTTTTAAACTGGTTTATAAATTTATCAGCATGTATATTTTGGCATTTAAATTACATGTGACAGATATATGCACTTTAATAATCAGTGTTAGCACTCTCCAAATATTAAGATTTTTAAAAGGCATAAGCAACTTGTACACGAGTACAAACGTAAAATTGTGGTGCAGTAACAGCATTAGTTCTCTACAAACAAAATAAAAATATTGTGACACCTTTAAGATTAACATCATCATGTTTCGTGAGCCAAAAACCAGTGTGTCGAATGCATAAACTGTAAGAAAATAAAAAAGTTAATTAAATTATTAAGGGTGGAAACAGGCGCAATTGAACGTAGCGACATTTACTTCTGCATAAATACGCATATCGGGAAAAGACAATAATTTCGGCAAGAAGTTACAAGACGTAAATGTCACCCTGAACTTTTAAACTTCGACCTTTCTATTGTGAGGCGTCATAATTTGAGATTTCTCGCGAGAGCGCTACCGATCGTAAATTAGTCTGCGTTGGAGAAAACTCCAGGAACCTCGGATACACTTCCATAACCCATGGTTGAACAGCTCTCGCGACAATTGCTGACTGGCACTGGCACAGGCTCTTGAGCACGTCAGGATTTGTGCTGTCGAAATCTCGCGAGAGCCCGTGCAGAGACCTTTGGGCATCCCCGTATCGACTGCGCGGACCCTCCTCCGAGCGCCAAGACGCGGCGGGCGCCATTTCAGGGAGCAGTCGCTTCTGCTAAAGCCTAGCGTGAATCTTCTTGTTCGGAAGCTTCCCTGGCTTTGGCTTTTCCCGTTTATTTTATAGAGACCCACAGTCTTTTCCTTGTTTCCTAGCCGCTTTCGTTTACGGAAGAATTTCGCCGTTGTGGGGGCCCGACACTCCCTCCCTCCACAGCACGTCCGGAGCCAGAGCGAGCAAACAACGGTAGCGGCCGCCTTCCTCACAGACACCTGAGCCAGAAGCGCGACTCCCGGCAGCGCAGGTAACTGGCCTTCGCCTCTGGGCTCCCCTTCCTTGGCTTCTCTGTGGGGGCGCGAACGCGTTCGACTTGGCTCGAAGCGAGTGCGGGCAAGCGCTCCATTGTGTGAGGCCTTCTTCATGGCGGGCATGTCGTTTTCCCTGACGTGTGCCCGAGCCTGGCCTCTCAAGACTTGGGTGTCCAATCCCCTCGGTTATGCGCAGGTATAGGCATCTGTTATGCAACCGGGGGAGAAAAATGGGGAAGCAGAGTCATATGGGAGGAGGGTTCTTCGGATCCTTCCGAGTGAGATTTTACGGGCCCCGGTGGTTGTCGCTATCCAGATGGTAGTGCTATCTTCTACCATAGAGTTCCTAAAGAATTTTATCCACTGCTTTAAATATTCCTGTGGGAAAGGATTTAAAACCTCTCAATAATTGCTCAGCAAGGGCTAATGATCATCAGAGAGAATAATGGTGATTAGTAATGGGAAATTCGTAGCAACTCGGAGGGGAGTAGAACATTTGTTTACCACGGGGGTAATTTGTGGAGCTTATTTAGCGGAAGTCAGGTGGGTGGGAGGGGAAACGAACCTTGCCCTGTGTCTTCAAAGGTAAATACATCAGGATGCGTGTAGTGGTTTTGTGACACCCTTTAAAGAACGTTTGTCAAGGTGGATAGATTTTAGTCATGTATTGTTAACCTTTCTTAACGTCACATTTTTCACTTTAAAATTAACATATTATTTGTCTGTTCGAACAAAACCATTGGCTTGTATTTGACAAAGCCTTTGTGCTATGTAAGAGTATTAATTCAAAGTTTTAGATCATGCTGCCTTTTATCCTGTAAAACGTATGCTTTGGTGGAATGTGTGAGGGTAACCAAAGGAAAGTCTTTGAGTGCAAGGGTGATTGGGCTTGTTTGTCTTGAAACAGCCCTTCTGCCCACACTATATGCTACTTTACTTTGGCTGTTGAGAGGTGTTTCTAAACGGTATTGAAGTGGTGATGTAGTGGTCTAGTAAGACGAAAGGGTAAGAGTCCCCACTGTTCAGCTCTTGGTCTAAAATGTCTACCCTCTACAAAAGTAACAGTTCAGTAGCTTCTGTGCAGAACTGTTTCCCCTGCATATTCATATTCATTGCCATGTATTCATAATACATAGCTATGTATTCATAATTTGCCATGAAATAATACATCTAAGCTAATTTAGCATTTTTAATATTTTGCAACAAGGTTCTGCCTTTTATATAGCAAAATGCAGCTTTTAACTGTGACAGAAAATAATAAATTCTTTTTAAGGTGTCTAAAAGCTAGGTTTTTGCATTCGGGTAGGAGCTGCCCTGATTAGCCAGGCCCTGTGCCAATCTATGTCTAGTTGAAGCTATTCAGAGTGGTTGCACCGCTGAATGTGTTTTAAATGTACTTTACTATATTATGCTGCCATCGATATACTAATGGTTTTAAATTGTTTAATATGTATTTTATACAAAAATGTATACTGTTTTGTTGTTTTTATGTAAGCTGCCCTGAGCCTGCCTTGGCGAGGAGGGCGGGATAAAAGTTAAATAAATAAAGTTTCTGGTTTAATTGAATTTTTAAAAAATTATGCATGGTGCAATTGAAATGTTTTTAAATCTAATGTTTTTGAAAATAGATTCTTAAAAGTCCACCATGTTTTTAAACTGCATATGTAGTCTTTTTTTCCAATTCATAATTTTTATTCTTTATAAACAAACAAACAACACAACAATTTTAACCTTATGTCAGTAAATATAACAATACATAACTTTAGGAGAGCATATTAATACAAGAAGAAATAAAGATCATATATTTTTAATAATTACAGTGTTAAAGAAACAAACATATTATATAGCAACTTAAAAATGTAACAATTTTTCATAGTAAGGATTTTTCGGTACAATACCACTGTTTGCCAAATATTCTAATATAGGAAACCAAGTTGCTTGAAATAATTTTTGTTTACTTGCTGTATTTTCCCCACAGGTATTTGTAGAAATTCGGCTAAGCACAAAATATTCCCAAAGTTTATTTTGCCAGCAATATGATGGAGCTTCTTTTGCTTTCCAAAATTGCTGCACATGTAGTCTTTTATGACACAGTTTGGTTCATTCGTGTTTGTATATAATTGTAGTAAAATGCTCTTAATAGTACACAGTAACACTTGAAACCTTCTGTTAAATACCGGTAATACTTTGAATTTTGTGTTTTTTGCTTTATTTCTTCAGAAGTAATAGTTAGATGGTCAGGTATAGGTGGGCATGTTAACTGAGTGCTGCTCTTAAAAAAATACTGGGCTATCTATGTCGCTTCTTCCATTTATGCTTTGGGAAGATTAGTCGTCAGCAGATTGTGACCTTGTATCTGAGGTGCTTTCTCCAGCCTTCTGTTAACAATACTTTTGTGTGTATGTGTGTGAGCCTTTCATTGCTACAGTAACCCTTTACAACAATGTAAAACTGTGGTGTTGGCTAATATTAGCCCTGGGCTGCAGTTGTTTGCCAAAACATCACAAATATTTAATTCAGATGCAGTGTGAAAGCATGGTTTGGTGCTACATGAAGGAGTTTTTGTACAAGCCATAGCTTGCTATTTGAACTAGCAAATTATTATTTGCCCTTGCCTTCTAAACTAGGTTTGGAATCTGCAAAGTGGTAGCTATTCCTTGAATTGCAGTTACATGACTAATGGAGGAAATGTGCTATCATAAGCCTTGTTCATGTGGCATCCAATCATGTTTTGTTATTAGATCTCAATCAGTTTGGCAGGTTTGGCTTATTTAAGATTGAAAGGGTGTCTTCCAACTCATATTCTTATTCCTCTATGCTACGTCATTCCCATTTAGGGTAAGAGTTTAATTTTCAGAAGTTTTGTCAATGAAGCACATTTTTTCGTTAGTAGTTTGTATATTTTATGTTTCCATCTTGGATGGAATTAAATCTGTTGGGGAACTTCTTGTCCCTCCAAAATAGCAGTTGTTATTTTGAATATGCGAGGGAACTGATGTGCCAATATCCTAGGGGTATGCTACCACATATAATTAAGCTTTTCAGATAAGAAATTGATCTTCAATATGTAATGGATATTACTTCTATATCAGCCTCCCCCATATTACTGTTTTCAATTATTGGCATGGACCTATGGATATAACTTTGCTAGATATATTTAATAACATTTCTGAAAGGTATTTTATATTTTGAAAGCATGTTTTGTACTTGATTGAACAGATCTTTAGTACTTGAGATGACAATTTGGTGTAGTGGTTAAGAGTGGTGGACTCTAATCTGGAGAACCAGGTTTGATCCCCCTCTTCTCCACATGCAGCTAATTCTTTCAGAGCTGTTCTCGCAAGAGCAGTTCTCTCAGAGCTCTCTCAGCCCTACCTATCTCACCCGGTGTCTGTTGTGGGGAGAGGAAGGGAAGGTGATTGTAAGCTGCTCTGAGACTCCGAGTGAAGGGCGTGGTATAAATCCAACTCTTCTTCAATTTGCCACTTGTGGTTATAAGTTCGAGCAGTATAATGTGTTGGTCATCTTGGAATTGTTGTTCTTCTCAAATATCGAAAGAGGAGGTAGTATATTTTAGTGACTTCCTTTTTTGTTTAACTGTTAGCTGTTACAAGTTTTCTTGTACTTTTTATGAGCTATGTTTGACATCATTATTAGATTTCCTTTTAACTTTGTCTAGTCCTACTTACTTTGCCTGTCACAGCGTCTTAAAACATGACCAATTCTGGAATTATCCATTGCTGGACATAATCTTGAATAATAGCTTTAGCCTGCTGTTTCCTAATTAAAAGTGTTTCTGGTACATGATACCTACTTCCTCTTGCCATAAAGCTATACACAATTATTGGGTCAAGCTGGAAAAACATAAAATGTTAATTTTTTAAAGCAAATCAGCTTTCTCTAAAATACAGGTTTTTCCCCCATGCCACAGTTATATTTTCAGATAGGTATTCCTTTCTTGGGGAAGTGGTGTATGTTCTCAGTCTTTCTGCAGTTTGAATAACATGCTGCTGTTTGATCAGGTAATTGTCTTCAGTTGCAATATTTTTTCTCGTTTCCTGTCTTTGATTTGTTCACAGTCCTTGTTTTCAGTAACTTTTTTTTGGTGTTCCAACTTGGTCTTGGCAACAGATCCTTTACTAGGAATTTATTGATATACAACACGTTTCAATCAGGACTGCTGTTGATATTGGACACCTGTTCTGATTTGTTGCAATCAGGTATCAAAAGTGAGTTGTGCTTCCTGAATTAGGAATTGTGCTCTATAATCAAGTCTGGGAAAGATTGTGGTTGTCAGAGTTATGGATTAAGGCCGGGCTTCTGTTGCACTTCTCCCAGATGCTACAGTGGACCTCTTTCCATATGATATTGCCATGTTTTGCATCATGTAATTGTTTGCTTCTAATAAAAAATGTTAAAGTCACCAGTTAAGAATTGCTAGTAGTGACTCTAACACTTGAATCTTAATTGATCTGTTTAGTTTGATATGGCATAATTTAGTCAAACCAGTATCTTTTCATAGGCATAAGGGTAATACTTCAGTTATTATTGGCTGCAACACTAGATATAATAGTTTGGTAATCCCTTTTCCCATTTCAGTTAAGTACTTTTTTGATCAGTTCAGAAGTCTCTGAGTAGCATGCTATCAGCAGGCTATTAGCTGGTCCTATGCAAGAGGTTCTGGGGTTATTTATTTAATCTATTTTAAATGTTTGACCCAATAAGTCAGTGATTCATGGTGGATCTCATGTGATGAGAAATAAAAATTTGGGAGGCACTTCTAATCTGAAGCTGTAATGAGTTTTTTCCCATTAAAGGGATGTTTTTCTCACACTTTGGTGGAGGTAAAGGAACAACACAATGAATTGTGGGTTCACAGTTCTAGGATAGCTCTTCTGTGAATTTTTTTAAATGAATAAGTTGAGTAAGAAGCATTAAAAGTTCCACCAAATGTGTGTATTAAATGAGCACCCTAGAGGAAGTTCTGTGGGAGGGTATCTAGAAGAATATACGTACCTTCAAGAACTTGGTTTCATTCCATATACAGAAAGTTAAGTGGACCAGCAACTTGTTCAGCTGTGAGGATCATTATTTACCCTTGGTTCAAAAAGCTTGATAATAGCTTACAAATCAAATTTAACACGGGTACTTTAAAATGTTCTTCCTTGTTTTGCTTTTAGGGGTTGCTTGAGGCCTGCGGCCTGTATGTTGCTTGCCCATTGACGAAGCCTGGGCTCGTCATGGTACAAAGAAGTTGAGAAACCCTGCTGTAGAGCAACTGCAATATGAGCTGAATGCAGTAATTTCTGTGTGAAATCCTGTTCTATTTAGCCAGGAAGTCTACAGAAGATTGTAATAGTATGTTGTAGCCTTTTAACAGTTAGTCGACTTTAAGGGGGGGAATACAGTCTGCAGCTGATTGTCTCAAACAAGCTCTTCTGAATGTCTTCTAAAACTTGTAAATCTCTAAAGCAGTGAGTGTTTAATAGATCTGAATAGCAAACATGCTTGTTTGTAGGGTGCTTCTTAAAAATATGAAGTAAATCCAGTTTTGCAGAGAGCAATAGGCAAATCAAATACTGGTGTTTACACCACTTATTTGGCTGAATTTGCTAGTTGCTTGCATGAGCTACAGTTTTGTCACCTAAGTATCATTAAATGTCTTGATGTTTGTTTCAAAACAATGGTTAAGTAGTTTTCTTAACTAAATAATTTTGTTCTTCTTTCTAGGTGTCCTGAAAAATGGCTGATGATATTGATATTGAAGCAATGCTTGAGGCTCCTTATAAGAAGGTGAGAAAATGTGCTGTAAGGTCTTTAGCAATATTCATTTAGCATTATTCATGAAACTACTGCTGAACTGTAAACTAACATCCCCGGAGCCCTCATGATTTATCTTATTGGACGTGCGTTACATGTAACTTACAAGTAACTATATGCTGTTAATGTAATTATATTGTGCAGTAGTTTCACTTCAGCGTGATGAATAAATGCCCATCTATCTCTCTTTGTAGACTTGCCTAACGATATCTCACCTCTACTCCCATGAATTCACCTTTGATTCCAGTGTGAACTGTCAATCATAAGGTAGTAATTGAGTGACGTATCGCTGTACCGTGGTCCCCCTAGGTAAAACTCAACCGACCAACAAACAAAAACACTCTCCTAAAAACTACCAGCTCCATTTTGGTATAGCAACAAGGTGAATGCAATGGTTTGGGCAAATAGCAGGGTTCCAAGAATAACCTCTTTCCCCAAGTTCATGGCAAGCAAATCTTAGCCTGCTTAATGCAAGAAGAGTGACTGTTCTTCTTTTAAAGATAGACCCGTGATTAGTCTTTAACAGGACAGGTGGCAATCAGCTGTTGTGCGAAAGACCTTTCCAAAATTCTTGGATCCCTGAATAGTTCACATTTTATTAGAAGTGTGGCAAAGTATCACAGTCTACTATTCATTGTGGAAGTACACTTCTGTTTAGTTATTCAATTTAGAAACTGCTCATTTTGTTATGATTTCTCTAAATTTCTGAATGTTTAGTACATAGGGTCAGATCTAAACAGACACTAAAGTGACGTGATTCTTTAGTGTGGTCTTTTTTCACCAGATGTTAGTGAAACTTGAATTTTGCATGCAGTAGCACTGGCTTCACAAATTTATATAAACTTAAGTAATGTAGCAGTTGAACTCATGGTGTAACTGGTGTGATAACTACAATAAACTTAACAACAATTAGTAGTCTATTCTGGAATATGCTTAGTGCAGGTATGCGGTATCAGTTTTGAACAAGTCTTTGTAACCTTTTAAAATTTGTGTTTAGTTTTATATAATTAGTAGTTATGTAATATTTTGAAATGAATCATAACTTGTAATATTAAGAATCATGTGTGCTAGTTTAACATGGATATTTTCCATGTAAACAGGTATGGAAATAGGGAATATTTAGGCTGGACTGGTTGGATTATTGATGACTGACTTGGGAGTCGACGTTACTAAAGCAGTGTGAATCCCTGTTTGCTTCAGGGCGAGATGTGTGACAGAGGTGGCATCAAGCTCTTACAGTCCCAACCCTCCAACGAAAATGGGCGAAGATCTCAGGAATGGCATCGGTCACAGGAAATCGATAGTGGCTGGCTGCTAGCTTGGCCACTTGGGGCTTAGGCAGAGATATAGCCTTGGTACTGGTCAAAAGGGATCATAGTCCATGAAAATTGCTTTTAAACATGAAACTTCCTTTTTATGTTTTATTTATTTAACCACTTCAGTGCTGAAAACTACAGGATAACTTAAGTCATGTAAGGAAATATATACAATTTAAATATTTTCATAATCAGTAATTTTTGTTTTTATAGCTTTATTACTTTAAATATAGCAGCAAAGTGGTTAAACAAGTCTATGTAAATTATTAGCCCTCCATTTTAACTGTAAAATAATTTAGTATTAAAAAATTTGTTTTGTATTTTCTTATCCCTATTCCCATTACCCTTTTGACCACTTGAAATGTTTCCACTTCGTCCTCACGATGTTCTTCTATCAACCCTGCTTAGGATGAGAACAAATTGAGCAGTGCCAATGGCCATGAAGAGCGCAGCAAGAAGTAAGTCTTTACTGTTTTTCTTTAGTGTATGCCTTGGCCTTTCAGAATTAGTAGGTGTGGCAGCCAGTCATTCCCTCTCACAGTTTCAGGTTTGCAGCCAATATATTTTGAGTTATTTGTTGCCCTGTAGGGTTTACAAGGCAAGAGATGTTCAGAAGTAGTTTGCCATTGCCTACCTCTGCATAGCAACCCTGGACTTCCTTGGTGGTCTCCCATCCAAATACTAGCCAGGGCCGACCTTGCTTAGCTTCTGAGGTCTGATGAGATCAGGCTAGCTGGGGCTATCCAGGTCAGAGCATTTCGAGTTATACCCAGTGTGAAAAAAGAGGTACTACACAGGAGATACATAGAGTCCTTGCTGTATACCTTGTTTCCAGTGCTTATGTTCCACTGTTTGTTTTTTAAAAAGCTAAAGGTAGTTCACAAGGATCAGTAAGTCTAAAAATATCTACAAAACCTAAAGCAGCATAAATGTTTGCTTACTAGTGTTATGACAGCTTAAAAGCTAAGTGAAATAGATTTCTTGTATTAACTTTTGTAGGCAAGAACCCCCATCATGTAAAGTGAGTTCCTTCTCTTCCCCTGTGGTGCAATCTTAATATGAACTAGTTGTCACATGGCTGCTGCTTAAGGGGGAAAAATGGTTGAGAGCTTTGACTGTGGAGCACCTAGCATTTTGACTAGTTTGACCCTCAGAGAAGTTGAAAAATCAATAATTTTTTTAAAAAGAGAAGAATATGCTGGTACTTGTATTTGCAATTGCTTCTAGTGTAGCATTTAATTTACATTTTCGTAGGCAGCTGTTTTCCATAAATGTGTTCGCCCTTTTAAATTATCATAAAGCATGTGTGCAAAATTCAGAAATGTAGCATATCTTATTGATTATACTTGTAAGTGCCTAATGTGTTTTGCCATGTGCAGGTGAAGGCAATCTGAGCTGGGAAAGTACTTTCCCTGTGCAATATTTGAAGAACAATTTGAAACCTCTAATTACCATCCATTAGGCTTACTTTTATAAAGTGAAAACAGGGTCCTTTTTTATGGGTGAAACTTTTCTCTTTCTTCCCTGTCCAGTTCAAATGGTGGAAGAGCAGTTTTCCCCACCTTTCTCATTAGCAGATACTTTCTGTGTCTAAATCTGTTGCGTATTGTGATTAGCATAATCACTTTGGAAGCTGTTTACTGTTGCATTGGGTTATCAGTGAAATGTTTTTATTGAAGAAACATGCTTGAGTTTGTTCACCGCTTAAGGCTCAAAACCATTTAAAAAGTTGCTAATGTTCCATAAAGTAGAAGTGTTGTTGTAGGTCTGCATTACAAAAGTGTGCTCCCCATATGAGTTCATACCAGCTTGTATTATGGGAAGTGCCTTTACTTTGGATATATTGGTAAATTTACCACAGTGCTCCCTACTCTAATGTTTGCCTGGAGCATTTTAATTCTCTCAGTTGTTCAGAGTGGTAATGATGGTAGTGATATACTACAGGAAATATGCACAGACATTTCACCTAAAATAATCTTACAAGAGAGCTGTTTGGAGTTGCAAAGCATCAATAGTCTTGCAGTCAGCTGCCCAAGAACTAGCCAAGCAATCTCTTCCTTTCAACCAGCCATGATCAGTTGGGGCAATATTTATTTAACTGCCTCTTTGATGCTTATCTTTGGTGATGATGCAAGGCTCTACATTCTGTTCCCAACAGGTAGGAGGCTATGAATAGTATCTAGCCCATGTTTTCTACTCTGAGGAGTAGTCTTTGCTGTTTCTCTCCTCATACACGGAACTCCGCATTGCTGGGGGGGGGGGTCACCTGAATATCAGAGGCAGGCATTTTGGAGAGTTGTGTGGGTTGCCGTGAAGGGAGGGGAGCAAAAGAGTTCCATAAGCAGAATTTCTCTCTGTGTGATTCAACCCTTTGTTAAGCCATTGGGTAAACAGCTGAAATTACTATTTTTCTCTAATTCACGTCTTTAGCTAGCCAACATCCCCAGTAACCTCAGACTAACATTTCTTGGCAGTATTTAATGTCTTTGTCAAGAATTTAAAGGAAGTAAAGTTTGGAGCCATAACTTGGAAACCTTTTGCTTAATTTGTGCTCAGAATGACTAAAGAGAGCTCCACAATGAAATTTTGGGAATAATTCTGTAAAAATGCTGAATAGATGGTGCAAAACATATGTAATATGTGAAATTCTTGTTTTTCAGACTTAGCTTATGGATAAAATTGCATATGGAGCCCAGAGTTTTGGCCCACCTGCTGCATATTATACATCAAAGTTTTTCCCATTTAGTCTATCATCAGGTACTTTGCAATAGTTGGCCATCTCTCTAGTGAGGTAATATATCTAGGGCTAAACATATCCCTCTCCTTCCTATCAGATGCATACCTCATTTTAATTCCATGCAAGATGTATGGTTGCATGAATATAGCCAGCCTATTTTTAATTGACCCCAGCATGTGTTCTCTTGGGAGAATTTAGCTTAGTGATAACATTGTAGAAAATAATCTTACACAAAGCTAGTACACATTAAAGTATCACACACTATTACAGGTAATTTTAAATATCACAGTGGAAATTTGTTTCAGTTTTCATAGCACATTAAGAGGCAGGATCAAGGAAATTGTGCAGGGCTATTGCTATGGCATCCTATCAGTGTACAATTGGTAACTAGTAACATTAACAATAATTATGAACTGCTCTTATGTGGGGCTTCCCAGTGGCCTCCTATCCAGGTGATTGAGGTTGTCTGTATACTGTTATTGTCAACAAAGTGACAACATCTCAGCTCTCAGATAATTTGCTGGGCTTAGGAATACATTCATTTCTTTGCAAAGCACTCAGACAATCCTCCTTAGTCTCATTAGACACACCTCATTCTGAACAATGGAATTAGCTGCCTCTCTATGGTATCCTATTCCTTTATCTGCACAAGTCTATCCAGGGCAGCTCCACCATGGTAATAAATTGAACATATTTTTGAGCTGCTATAGTATGTTGCCTTCTGCATGCTGAGATGATGGACATCTAGTCATCCATGTGGCAAGTACATATTCTTTCTAAATATCAGTTATGACCTACATGGGATGGAATTTGCATCCTGCTATCCAGAGAGTGCTTCATTATAGCAGCTTGTTAACTTCCTCTTTTGTATTTGTTTGGAATACCATGCATCAGTGACATGGTCTCCTTGGTTAACGAAGACACTAGGTATCAAGCATGACTGATAACCATTGATTAAGGTTTTTTTTTCATATATTCACTTTTGGCAATATGCTGTACATAGTGCCCAGTGAATATTCAGTCAATGAACCCCCAAGCATAAAAGTGATGCTATTCATGTCATGGAGAGAGTGTTAGCCTTGCCTACAGTTTTCAGATGGTCTTTCCACATAGCGTGTAAAAGAGCTTTCTGAAATTCTTATATGTTCTTACCATGAAGGAAGATTTTCTACTGAATATTTACTCTTCAAATATTTTTAATACCTTGGGGGTGACAGTCTTCTTGGTTATGTCATTCCTAACTGCTTGCTTATTGATATTGATCTGTGTCAAATACCTAGTATCTTTAATCAACATCCATATATTTATCCATATATTTATAAAATGGGGTAAGCTTGGCCAAGGTCAGTCAGCTGCCTGCAACTTACCAAAGCTGAAAGCATTATGCAGTTCTTTGATAAAAGCACTGAAGATTTATACTACTTCAAAATCACTAGCAAAGCAATGTTGACTTTGCAAGAAGTGAGTTCTTAATTTTCTTCTGTTGAAATTTTCCAGAGTACCACAGGATATAAAACTGCTTCCAACCAGTAGAACAAGATTTTTATTACAGTTTTCTTGTGTGGTCTATTGGACATCTTGGCCAAGTTTCTGGATGCAGCACAAAATAGTATGTTTGTAAACAAAGCAAAAACCCATTGCTTTTGTTTTATTTGATTAGATGTTTCTGGGTTAAACCTTTTGAGAGCTTTTGGGAAAGCCTCTTTTTGAATTCATATGTTGACAAGATTTTCTGTTTTGCATACACGTGAGATTGTCCAATCCGCTCTGAGCCACATTTTGTTTTTTAATCATCAGTTGCAGGTTGGTTCAGTAGCTGAGATGTTGAAGAGATGTTATGCCTGCTTTGAATTGAATGGTCCTGACTTTTGTAGTATTCTAGGTTTGCTATTGGTGGATTTTTGATTTCCTTTGGATAAAGTGAAAAATAATAGGCATAAGATGAGAATTGCAGCTTCCTGAAATAAATAACTAAAAGATGGAAACTAAATGTTTTGCTTTGACAAAAGGGAGAAGGATTTCAGTCATTTTAATAGAAGACCCCTAGAAAGCAGGTATTTTATTCCATCTTGATGGGTTCTTTACATTCTTGACCACATTCTTGACCACAAATCAATGGAATTGAAATAAATATGGATTTATTAGATACCTGGATTATATATTGGAATTTCATGATACACTTGGATTTCATATCCTTTTATGTTGTCATAATAATGGCCATTCGGAACAGCATCTCTGATCTTGGCCAAGAATTTCTAACCTAGTCAATGTATTGCAAAACTCAGCTTCACAAACGGTTATGTATATTTTAGAGTGACACACAGGTGTAGAATTCCCAAAAATACACTGACCAAAAATATTTGCTCGAGTTAAAGCAGGTACACAATATCAAAGGTAGTAGTAGAACAGTTAGACCTCCATTTATAGTTTCTCACTGACTAGAAGCGGTAAGAAATTTTTCCATATTGTGACTGCTTGTTCTTATTTAGGAAATTAAATTTCCATTGTCCTGTAAGTCTGTTGTGTGTGATATTTTTGTATAAGCTTTGTGTGTGTGTGTGTGCTATTTCTCCAATGTTGCCACTAACCTGGGAAAAACTACTTTCCCAGGAGAATACATGCTGTCAATAATTGAAAAGTAAATTGTTCTGAATACTAATTTTTCTGTCTGCTTTGCTGGGGTAGGAGGGCTTTTAAGTTAGGGTATATATTTTAGAATGTTTTTTTCTCTCACACTGGGGATTCAAAATAGCAAAATGAAATATAAAAATAAAGATTACAAAAACATTCATACACCAACAACTCCCCAATACAGACTTAAGGCAGGTAGTGAGTTGTAAGGACATCCTAAGCGGTTGATGGTTCCACTGGTACAGTAGTATACGCAAGACCACATGCTAAGAGCCAAGGGTCAAGAGCCCCTTTGGCTCTTGCCCAAAGTTTTCATCAAAGGCTTGCACTTCCAGCCTAAGTTGTAAATTAGCTGCAGAAAGGGAGGGACTAATGTTCAGCCCAGGTTTTATTCAGCTCAATTTCTTCCATCGTCTTCAAGGAAACAATTTTTATTGACTTCATTTATATTCTACTTTTCCCAGTGGGGACCTGATGTGGCTTACAGTGTTCTGCCCTTCTCCATTTTATCCTCATTAACAACCCTGAGAGGTAGATTAGCAAGCTTCCATGGCTTTGAACCAAGGTCTCCCAGATCTTAGTCTGACCCTAGCCACTAAACCACGGTGCTTTAGTGTGGTAGTACTGATAGATGGGGCAGGAGGGATTTTTCTGCTTGAAACATTACCTCATTGGCTATATTGCTGACTGTGGAAGAGTACTAGTGTGTTAATAGTTCTTAGAGTTTCAGATGAGGATGTGGGAGATGCAGATTTGAATGCCCTTACTGCTTTGGAAGCTTGTTGAATGACGTTGATCCAGTCATACACTCTGAGGATAGCCTATCTCACATGGTTGTTGTGAGGATCAAATGGAAAAGTGTAAGCTGCTTTAGGTCTCCATTAGGAAGAAAGGCATAATATAAATGGAGTAAATAAATGGTGCCTGATACTCAAGGAAATGTTGCTGTATAATATGTAGCAAGTGGCCAAAACTCCGGAGATCATAAATAATTTTATCCGTTAGCGAAGTCTGACAAACATGAGTTTCACATGCTCTGTGCTATCTATTCAGCGCTTTTACAAAGTTCCTTTATTATAGACATTTTCTAGTCATCTTAAACCCATGCCCCGATATTATACCAAAAAAAAATGCAGGATGAAAAAAAAATGTTTTAGTGCTGTGCCCTTAAATGCATCATGATCAGTTATCACTTTGCATTCATTGATATGGAACACAATAAGTAATCTTTGGCTTTTTAGACAACGTTTGCAATAATAGGTAGCCTGTTAGGTGTATTTTGCAAATCTGTTGTACCCATGCGAACAGTTATAGTGACTGATTCCTTCACTTGGGAGTGAAGTACCCTAAATGATCCTTGCTGCCCCCTCTGCTGGCTGGGAAAATAGAGTAGTCCAGATGCCCTTGCACTTGCAAAGAACAAAATTTAAGTAATCACTGTCTTTTTCTAGGGAATGATAGTGTTAAAGAGCTTTGACCTGATCTTCCTTGCTATATAGCAGTTGACTATTCTCATGGTGTTGCAGTACTGTACTGAAATATTTGTTATAAGAATACTGCTGTTATTTATGCCATTTGTAAACATAACTAGATTATGAAGTAAATAATCTTGAAACTAAAACCATTACTTTCTGTGCAGGGGAAAAGGTATTTGTAGAATGTAAACATGGCAAATGTCACAATCATTGCTATAGTTTGAATTATAATCCCCTTTTAAGGCTGTTCAAATGTCTAGCAGACTAAAAAGCAAATCAGTATTGCATAATTTAAAGCACTTATAAAGTGGTATAGGAATGGGAATGAACTCTTGTTTAGAAGAGACATGAAAAGGAATGCTGCCTAGATTTTTGGTCTTATCACTTCTGTCCCTCAAATTATGGTTAGTGAAAATTTCAGATTTAATGACAGTTTATTTAATTGCACATGACAGAATTCCCATATACATCCTAATTTGGGGGAGAATGGGTCACATGGCTTAATCCCCAAAACTGGAGGCAAATTTAGCATGCTTCACTAAATGCCACCTCTGCTAACTGTGTCAAGCTCAGCATCATCCTGGAGGCAGTTTTACTACAGGTGACTATGACAAAGAATTAATTATGATTTTTAAAATTTTATTTGACATTCTTAATGTGTATGTTGCAGTATCTTACAGAATTAAAAAATAATGAACCCCCAAACTCTTGTTTAAATTGGTTGTAAAGACAGTCACTGGGCTCTTAGGTTCTAGCTGTACCAGAGGAACCATAAATGTTAAATTTCTAAAACTGGCTACCCAACAGTTCCTTAACCAACTGTTTTCTTTAAGTAATGGTATGTAGTGCAAACTCTCAGAAATCACTTCTTTATTACCTAGAATTTTTAGGTGCAAAGGAATAGAATCTATGATGAATAAAATTTCAAAACAAATGAGAACTTCAAAGTAATAATGGAGCCTGTTTCATGAAAGCAGTTTTGTCCCTACTGTCTTTTCTGTGTGTGCAAGGCATAGTTCATAGTGTCTGATGGTTGCAAAAACAAATAATACAAACTATTGTGCATTGATATATATGCATACTTTTATTAAGTTAAAAATGCTATGTCTTGCTGCAGTCCTTGTGCTTGTGTAAGCAGAACAGCACCAGGTACTTCTTGTTTGTGTATCACTGGATCCTAGCTGTTAAGTATTGTGAGATGCATTATGTTTAGATACTGGCACCTAGGACAAATTGAGTACACACTGCTAGAAAACTACAGTTAAAAGCCATTTATGGCACTGAAATTCAGAAATCAATCTGAAAAAATTGAAGCTAGTGTAGTAATTGAATGAACACTTTTCTTAACTCTTCAAAAGCCATATAGAGAACATAAATAATATGGACAAAGATTAACATTTTTAATGTAATTGCATCTAGCCTTCTGGCATGACATAAGGTTACCTGTTTGTAAACAGTAACATTCCAGAACATTTGGCACCCAAATTCCATAGGACATTTAATTTACTTTTAAAAGTATTTCTGTTACTGTTTAAAGGACCCTTAACAAGCAAATAGCTAACTTGAAGTGGGTTAAACCATTGGCTGTAATGGGAATAACTCTTCCTCCATTTGGAGCATAATGTCCTTATGGTGCACATCTAGTGTACTCAGGCAAGAATGAAAGGAAAGTCTCACTAAATGTTCAGGAGAGAGTAAGTTGTGATTTTCTGCAAAAACAACGTGGTATATCTTGGTTACCTGATACTTCTTATGTGTTGTATCTTGCTTACATGGTTAATGAAACCCCTGCTTAATCTTGGAAGGAAATAGGCATTTAAAGACTACGGCAGCAATATATTAAGTTGACGACATATGCAAATATATTTAAATGAGTTTGTTGGCTCTACCCTACTTGAAAATTGGCCTAGTGTACATTTATTTTAGCTTACTTCTATATCACCTTTCTACTCAAACATAGTTAAAGAAAAACTGAAGTATAGTTATAGAGATAAAAATGTTTAAATATTAAAATTTTTTAAATATTAAAAAAAATTAGGCTGCATTATTAAAGGGTATCAATTAGACATTAATAGCCTTCCAGAATTAAAAAAAAGTTTGAGACTCCTCCAGAGGATCTGCATGTATCGTATCAGTTTCATTTTGTGGAAACTGCAGCTTGGGGAAGCAGCTAAAAAGACTTTTCCATGGAACTCTGCCAAATGTATTTCAGATAGAGTAGGTTTCTGCAGAAAGTTCTTACCTACAGGTTGGTTGGGGTAGGAGGCCCTTCAAATACTCTGGACCTAAACTGTTTAGGACTTTTGAGGTCAAAAGGTGCACCTTGATTGGACTTGGTAGCAGAATAGAAACACAGTTGATACAGTTCCATCTGGATATTACCAGGGCCTGTTAACTGGCTCTTCATGCTTGCTGCCTTTGAAAACAGGATACCTGAACATGTTGTGTTTTCTTGCTCAGGAGAAAAAAGAGCAAGAGCAGAAGTCGTAGTCATGACAGGAAAAGAAGCAGAAGTAAGGAACGCAAACGAAGTCGTGAACGTGAGAGGAAAAAAAGCAAAAGCCGAGAAAGGAAACGCAGCAGAAGTAAAGAACGCAGACGTAGCCGTTCTAGAAGCAGAGAACGTCGTTTCAGAGGACATTACAGAACTCCCTAGTAAGTTGTTTTTGAAGAAAAAATACATTTTAAAACAACTTTTATAGTAATATGAGCTTTACCTTAAATTCTATGGGTATTTTTATCTTGGGCTGATTTTTTTTAATCATTGGAAATTGAACTATTCAGGCCAGTAATGTAGCATCTGCAGTAATATGACCATAGTGGTATGACAGTATCTCGGTGGTGGTGATTCATAATTGGGTTATTGGTGGTGATTCATAATTGAAATATCGGTGAATAAGCTTGATTTTAATAGTACATCTCAAGCCAACAAGTAAATTATAGGCTTGTTACATGTATGCAATGTTTAATATTACTTTCTTTTTTTACATCTAGTTCTGGTCCAAAATTCAACAGTGCCATCAGAGGAAAGATTGGCTTGCCTCACAGCATCAAAATAAGGTTTCCTTTTCTTATTTTACTTTGGGCAGTTAACTGACTATGTTAATATTTATAACTTTCATAATTCTGCGTATTTTCCCCCCATAGCAGACGGCGCTCCAGGAGCAAAAGTCCATTCAGAAAAGACAAGAGTCCTGTGAGGTATGCTTGAATTCTGCTGTTTAATTTTAATTAGCTATGCAGTGTTGAATGTTGTAAGGCATTCCAGATGCTTTCTTTGCAAATCCTATTCACAGTTGCAGCTTCTAAAATCTACTTTCAAACTATTTATATTGATGTGCTACTTACAGATTGTGTTGGATAGTGGGCATATCTGATGGTTCAGAAAGAGCGAATACATGCAGTTATTGTTGTACTGCATAGCAGTGATACTGACGATGCCCCAAACACTGAATGGCCAAAAAAACAGCAAATAACAACTGTGTACTGCACAAACCCGCACCAAAGTTAACAAAAAGAGCCTTCAACACACAGGTAATTCAACACATGTAATCCATCATAGGAAAATACAAAAGTCCACAATATCCCAAAGGGAAAGAACAAAGTCCAGAATAGAAATTTCTCAAAGGGAAACAATGAAGTCTGGAATAGTTATCAACACTTTTCCTAGGTATTGTTCAGTGTCTCTGGTCCTTCCTCAGGAACAAAAAGCCACTACAGGAAGTCTCATTGCAAATTCTTGACGGGCAAACTTTATTCAGTTTCTGTATGGGCCAGGTCTCCTAAGCTTTAGAAAGCACCTACCAAGGTTGTTATTATGTAAGTTGGACCAAACATGCCTCCAAACATACTGACGATGCCCCAAACACTGAATGTGCATATTCTTCTTGTTGGTACCTTTGATTCTGCTTATGCTTAGTTGTCCTGTGGTGTGAAAGGCAACTGTGTTACACCTCTGGGGTGCTAATGGCATTTTATTGGCTTATTAGTTATATACTAACATGTTGACTTGCAAAATATTTTCATGCAGGGAGGGAGAAGAAGGGCAAGGTAAGAGAACTTTGGTCCTTTTATCTGCCTTCTTGCTCCATGGTGATGGCTCCCACAAAGCAAGAAACTACTATCTTGGGTACAGGGGATAAAGCTGACCCTTTCCAATTCAGCCCCAGGCAGCCAGCATACAAGAAGATGCAGGTGGTGCCTGTATCCCGGGAGGTTGGGACATGAGTGGTGAAGCGAGTGGGCGACAGAGACAGAACAGAGCCACTGTGTTGACCTTTGCTACCTTAGTCTTTCTGGCCACTTGCTTTCATCTTAACTGCCAGATTTTGCTAGTTGTGTCTTGCACATCTTTGTGCTGCCAAATCCAGTGTCCGTGCTTTCCCTATGTTTGTTTGGTGAGATTTTCTTGCATAAATCAGAGTTCCATCAGTATTTAGGAGCTCACTCCTGACTTCTCCTTTGTAGTATTTCTATACAGTTTGCCCAAACAAGGGGACCCTTATTTGCAATAAGAGTGGAAGCAAAGGTGTAACTCAGGCATATGTTATGTAACCGCTGAGTGAATAAAGCTTGGACTTTGTATCCATACTTGTGACAGTGTCACAGCTAAATGGAAGTTTTGGAGATGGAGAAACAGGTACTTTAGGGAGAAGGATGGGGGAAATCCTGTTCTGAATGTTACCCAAATGTTAGAAACCTATACATATGTGTCTCAGCTCAGGATTATTTTTTGGAACCATTCTGCCAGGCGTATACCAGCATCCAAGATTTGATCTAACACCACATCATGGGTTGCAGATTCTTAGAAATAAACAGGTACTATTTCAAAGTTAAGAATCTATTAAACAGAATAATAGCAAAGGTAATTAGCAGACTGAATACATAGTTGGTAACACACACACTAGATAACTGTTCTACAAGTCCTAAACTAATAAATCCTAAGCGAAGCAAATGTTACTATTCTAAGGAGAAACGGGGAGGGAGAAGAAAGAGGAAATTAGACATATGAGCCTGTCCTGATAAGTGATGTGCAGTAAGGTTTGTCAGAGGAAGGAGAAAGCAGCATTGGTGAGAGAGGGGTGGGGGAGCAGAGTGCTGTCTTTAGGGCACCCAGATTAAGCAGCAGGGCAGATTAAGAGTAGCGCACATTCCCCACCTATCTGGGGATTTAGATCCAGGTGCCAGAGCCCAATACTGAGATGTGACCCAATAGCTAGAACAAAGTGCTGGGTTCTCAGGACTATACCCCAAAAGTATTATGATGGGGGGGAGTAAGATATTTCTCAAAATGGATTAAATTGAAGCTGAAAATTTAAAACCATTGGTAGATCAGTGGGTAATAGTTACTTGGGAAGATATTGTCTAAGGAGGGTGAAATTGGGGGTGTTGTGTCATCTTTGATGCGGTTTATAGCCCAGATGAAATAACAGACTTAGGTTTATTTGGTTCCCGTTTGGCTAGATTGAATTCTGGTGAAAACATAGTGAAAGGGCATAAAGATATGAAAGTCGGAGATAGATATGTTGACATGTCAATCCTATATCTTGGACAATTCCTGTTGGTGTTTATATAATGGCAAAATCAGTTGCACTTCGCTGCACTGAGATTTCTTTCTGTCTCCTAGGTTGTAGAAATAAATACCTTTCTACTATTCCAAACTTTGGGTGCGGCCAAATTAAGAAATAAAATAAAAAGGAGGCATAGGATCTGTGGAGGGATCCCAGCTATGGCCATATGTGCTGATCTGAGAGCTCACTCCCAGCTAACGTGGGAAATCAAAACGTTTTGTAATGGCTTTCTTCAGTCTCAAAAATAAACCTTTATTTATGATTTCTTAAAGTATGAAAGTGCCATTATGCTTATGTGCTGGAAGATCCTCAGAAATGCATGGGATGTGGCAAGGAGACTGTGGTATGAAGGGATCCAGGTTATGGTTAGAGTATACTGTTAACTTGCTTAAAACCTAAGATGGTATGTGCCTTGCCAGTGCCTGGGTTGGAGGACCTGGAAATCCTATATAACCTCTCAAGTTTAGGGGTGTGCAAAAAAACAAACACAGCTGATTCGGATTAGGCCGAATAGGCAGAATCAATTTCAACTGGCAGAAAGACTCCCACATGTAAATTTCGGCAGTACAAGCCCATTAGGGAGTCTTTTGGCCAGCTGAATGTCAATTTTGGGCCAATTATATCCTATGGGCCATTGAAGTAAATGGCGAAAACATGGGGTATATTCTGGGGGCTGGAGGGGAGGGGGTTTGAGGGAGAGGCTCCAAACTCACAGGGTAGCTGCTCAGAGCCTCTCCCCAAGAGACCAACCAAGTTTCAAGAACATTGGACCAGGGGGTCCAATTCTACAGGCCCCCAAACAGGTTGCCCCCATCTTCTCCATTGTTCTCTATGGTGGGGGAAAAGTTGCTTTTTCCCTATGGTGCTGTTAGTGGCTCTGGGGGGGAGGGGGCTTGAGGGAGAGGCTCCACATTTTCAGGGTAGCTTTGGGAGCCTCTCCCCACATAACCCCCCATGTCCCAAAGCCATTGGACCAGTGGGCCCAATTCTATGGGCACCCAAACAGGTTACCTCCATTACCTCCATGAGGCAGGCAAGCAGGCAGCACCCAGCAGTCAGTCTCTCCTACAGAATCTCAGGGAAAGTGAACTGTCTTGGGAGGTGCTTGTTTGCCATGAGAACAAGTGGCACACTCCAGAGCAAGTGGCACTGTGGCAGTGCAAGCCCAAAAGACCAACAGGAACAACATTTATATAGGCCCTGCCCTGTATAAATTGATGGTGCAACTGCATTGGACCACTCAGACTACACACACCTAGAAAAGAATACTTGTAGCACTGGAAAAAATACAGTGATTAACACATGGAATTCACTACCACAAGAGGTGGTGATGGAGGCTGGATCAGGGCAGTGGTCCATTGGTGGCTGGTGTTCAGGAGTTTTTTTTAAAAAACTATAAGGAATCCAGTACTATTAAAAGAGGTGAGGGGGTTGCCCCCCCCCAGCACCAGAGCATCACTTGCCCCAGAGACCAAGAGTTCTTTCTTATCTATAGCCACTAGCCACAAGTGTTAATCCATGTGTTAATCACTGTTTGGGTGAAGAAGTACTTCCTTTCATCTGTTCTAACTTCTACCCTGACTGCTCAGCAATTTCATTGAATGCCCATGAGTTCCTGTCTTGTGAGAAAGGATGAAAAGTACTTCTTTCTCTACCTGCTCTATCCCATGCATAGCCTTGTAAACCTCTTATGCCATTCCTCAGTCATTGTTTCTCAAAGCCAAGATCCCCAAGCGCCTTAACCTTCCTTCATAGGGAAAGTGTCCTCTTATCATTGTAGTTGCCCTTTTCTGCATTTTTTCCAGTGCTATAAATATTCTTTTCTAGGTCTCTGTGCCATTGCATAGCCTTGTAAACCTCTTATGCCATTCCTCAGTCATTGTTTCTCAAAGCCAAGATCCCCAAGCGCCTTAACCTTTCTTCATAGGGAAAGTGTCCTCTTATCATTGTAGTTGCCCTTTTCTGCATTTTTTCCAGTGCTATAAATATTCTTTTCTAGGTCTGTGTGGTATGAGTGGTCCAATGCGGTTGCACCATCAATTTATACAGGGCAGGGCCTATATAAATGTTGTTCCTGTTGGTCTTTTGGGCCATTTTTGAGGGTGCATTCGGTTTAAACAAACCGAATGCACATCCCTACTCAGGTTCCTTGAGGAAAGACATACAGGATGGAAATCAAATGAGTATTTGGTAGAAATTATTCCTGTTCTCCATTGTAAGTTTAGTGCTTTTGGGAATCTTTTTTTCTTGCTTCCCCACAGTATCATGGTGCATTCATGCATCTCCGAGGGGTTCTTTGGCTTTCCTCTGATCTTTCTGAAACCTGCCTTGTTCTGAAGTTTTGGAAAAGGTTGCAGTAAAGCCTGGATGGCTTTGGATTTCTGGCCCATACGGCAGCCGTTTCCTATCCCCGCTGCTGGGAGGCATTTATTTTAATAACACTAGAATATTGTTATACTAGTGGGTGTAGCAGGTTCTCTGAATTCCCAGCTTTCCGTTTTTTTAAAAAAGTAAGTCTGTAGCCCCCTTTCTTGCAGAGATGAAAGAAAAGGCATATCTTCATAAGGGAAGGGGACCAGAGACTTTCTTTAACAAAGAAAGAAAGCTGGGAATTCAGAGAACCTGCTACACCTACCAGTACAACAGTAAATTGACATAAGAATATTCTAGTGCCAATTATTTTTTTATTGCAAAACGGCTAGTAGCCTTGGGGGCAATTCAGGGGAACCAGGAAAAGCTGTCATTTCAAATCATAGAACCATAGAGTTGGAAGGGACCTCCAGGGTCATGTAGTCCAACCCCCTGCACAATGCATTGCTGCTGTACTTCAACTGCAGGCGCATCAACAGTGAGGAAGCCACAACATGCTGTTCCTGTGTGGAAGACTTCCTTGTTAAAGCTGTGTATGTGGTATATTTGAGAAACAACTTACATTTGATTTCTGTCTTAGAACCTTTTGTTGATCCATCTGTTTGAGTAAATTGTCTAAATCACTAGCAGAATATGCTCACATAACATTTTAAAATCAGAAATTCAAATTATTGATTTTTTTTCTTCAGAGAACCTATTGATAATCTTACTCCAGAAGAGAGAGATGCTCGAACAGTGTTCTGTATGCAACTTGCTGCAAGAATTAGGCCAAGAGACCTGGAAGAATTTTTCTCTACTGTAGGAAAAGTGAGTGATTAAAGAATTTAAAATTTATTCTGCTATTCCTCCTGCCACTGTAAAAGCAAAATTAAATGGATCTTGCCAAGGCCTCTTTTGTATAAAATAAGTAATTTGGTTGCATCTGAAGTGACTTGCGAGATTCTGCCACTGAAATGTTTGGGCAGGCCTCTGCCCCCAGTGTAACACGTGGTCAGGATAGATTATAGAGCAGAGGCGAGACCAAGTTACAAGGATAATTTTTAATGGTATATCCTTTTGAAAGTAAAAGATTTAGAAAGAGAAAGAGGAAGAATATTTTTCCTTATGGATTTAAGTTTGGCACCAACTGTTTTAAGATATGAACTTTGTAGTACTGCAGGACAGCTCAAGACTCCATACTACTGGGATTAGTTCAGTAATTAGAGGTAGAATATGAGTAGTTCATTGAGAACTTTAGGGGTAGCTATGCAGGGCATTGAAGCATTATTCACTACACTTGACATTGTTACACTGCTTGCATGATTTTGTATGTATCTACACAGGCATTAAAAAAATGTGTCCGATCCAAAATACTGCCAACAGAGCTCTGCTTGCCTCGTACAAAGTTTCTACCTCCAACTGCAATGTGTTGTGCTTCCTGAAATACCACCCCATGGCCCAGGGGATGCCTAGAAACAATGCTGGAAGTAATGTGGAGGTGGGGGGGGGTGACACCATTATTATTAAATAATGTAAATCTTTCAAAAGGTGGCTTCAAACATTAAATTTTCTATCCAAAAATCATGTTTAGGTAATTGGGTATGACTGTGTATCTCACACTATATGTTTCCTATGCTTATTGAGGCTTCTCACCATATGTGCATGTTACAAAACTCATGCTTGCTTGTTGAGGCCTTCAGTGGCATACACGGTGTTTTTACACCTTTTTCTTCATGGAAGTACTTTCTATGTAAAGAAATAAAACGTGTGGCCCAAAATGACAAACATAATTAGGGAATGAAATTCCATGCTGACTGCTTGTGTAATGTCATATAGTACTCTGACTATAGAACATGTATGCCAGTTAAGTGTATTCTGATTAATATGTTGCTTTAACTTTTCTGCTCTTCCTAGGTTCGTGATGTACGCATGATTTCTGATAGAAACTCCAGGCGTTCCAAGGGAATTGCTTATGTAGAATTTGTGGATGTCAGTTCAGTGCCTTTGGCAATTGGATTAACAGGACAACGAGTGTTGGGAGTACCGATTATAGTACAGGCATCTCAAGTAAGTTTGCACAAAGTTGTATTGTAGCTCTATCAGTAAAGGTCATGTGCAATACCTTGAAGAGGTTTTAATGAATGTATCTTGAGTCCTGTTAACTTTATTGGTATTCAGAAATCTACCCAGGGAAATTTGATAGCTTTATGTTCTCTGTTAGTCTCTGTGTAAATTCCTGATCTGTGCAGAAGCAGCTTCAGAGCATTCCAAAGCTTTATGGAATAACTAGTAGTCAGACCTGGGGGGCGGTGGAGTATTACTGCTGGGGAAGGAGTTGAGCATCTTCCTGTTCAGTTTTCTTGACACAGTGATGAAGCATAAAAGATACCATTGTACTTCTGGGAGCCATTTCTATGAAAATTCTTTGGGACAAAAATGGGGAAGAAAACCTTTCCATGTCTCAGCTGGCTTTGGATCCAATAACAGCATCATTACTTCTCAGTGGCAGCTCCATTCTGGTGGAATGAACTCCTAGAGGAGATCAGGGCCCTGCGGGACCTGTTACAGTTCCGCAGGGCCTGTAAAATGGAGCTCTTCCACCAGGCTTTTGGAGCCGCCACCACCACTGCCTCCACTGACATCTAACAGTTTGGGGGAGCGAGCCCAACCCCCTTGGTCCCCCCAAATATAGCTTGATCTAACTATAGCCTGACCCAAGTGCCTGGGACATCTGTAGTAAATTATGATACTGACTGTGCCTGAGGAATTAGTGCTAGCACTTTATTAAGTTGTATAATTACGGTTTTAAATTTGTTTGTCTAGTTTTATTATTTATTGTACCATTTTATATTGCTGTAAGCCGCCCTGAGCCAGCCTTGCTGGGGGGGCAGGGCAAAAATCAAATAAATAAATAAAAATAAATTACTCTGTGCTACTTCCACATTTCATCAGTTGGATGTGGCTCTTCCATGAAAGTAACCCTGACAGCTATTTCTGCTTGGCATGTTGTTGTGGTCTATTGTTTTCCAGTGACTTGACTAAATATTTTAAAGGGCCTTACTTCAGCCATCTATTCATCTTCCAGTTCCCTCCTGGAGCTTGTATCTACTGCTTTGAAAGTTACTGGGTAAACGGTTGAACTCATAATATCCTGTGACTTGCATTTGCTTTCCTTTAAAATTCTATTTCTGGTGAATACTACATTTGCTCATTGTGCAGTGGGACATTTCTGCTGTCCTTTCTTCAGTTGTCATTCGAATAGAATGGTGCTTTGACCTTATCTTTTACCCCAGATGGACTTTATCTTTCACATAGTAGATAGCGTCCAATGTTCACCTGTCCTTAAACAGGGGACTACACAGAGACCATGAAGAAAAGATACACTGCTTATCTGTAATTAGTGATATTTGAGTGGCCATCTGTGCGGTTCCACAACTTGCCCCTTTCCCTGTTGCAGCTGATACTGTCATTTGAGCTAAGCTGCAAGTGGCAGTCTGAATGAAGTAAATAGAAATCACTTTGTCCTTCCTCACAGGACATAGGTAAAGGTTCCCTTGCTCGAAAGCCAGTCGAATCCAACTCTAGGGTTGCGGTGCTCATCTCCGTTTCAAAGCTGTAGAGCCAGCGCTGTCCGAAGACGTTTCCGTGGTCATGTGGCCAGCGTGACTAAACACCAAGGCGCACGGAACGCTGCACAGGACATACATAGAGTCAAAAGTTCCTTTTGGGGGAGAGGATTTGAGTGCCAAATCACAGGTAGAGTAATAACATGTCAGAAGCAGCTTCAGCATAGGCCCCATATATCTGATTTGCACAGGTGACCATTTGAATGACATCAGTTATAGACGCAACTTACCTATATATCTTTTTTTAATTGAACAAGGGATGGGCTATGGCAGCTGCTTTAGTTTCAAAACAGCTAAGCAGGATGTGGGGAGCTAATAATAAAAGCAAGTGTAATGCACCTATTTTATTTGATTATTTGTGCTAATTATACAGCATTTGGTAGTAAAATGGAAGGCAAGTGCTAACACTGAAAACAAGTTGTTAAACTAATTTTCAGGCTGCTTCTTTTTAATTTAAATATGATCAGTGACAACAGTGGCTTTTAATTCCAAAATCTTGTTCCTGACTCATGGAAGGCCCTTCAGCCAGTGCCAGAGCCAGTTTGGTGTAGTGGTTAAGTGCGCGGACTCTAATCTGGGAGAACCGGGTTTGATTCCCCACACCTCCACTTGCACCTGGCTGGAAGACCTTGGGCAAGCCATAGTTCTGATAAGAGCTGTTCTTGAAAAAGAGCAGTTTCTGTTCAGCCCCACCTACCTCACAGGGTGTCTGTTGTGGGGAGGGGAAGGGAAAGGAGTTTGTAAGCCGCTCTGAGACTCCTTTGGGTAGTGAAGGGCGGGGTATAAATCCAATCTCTTCTCTTCATGTGGCAGATTTTGAGTGGGTGAATATACTGTGATATCCTTTCTTGCTGAAAGGAAGCAGTTAATTCCCTTGCCGTAACAGCTGGTCCTACTTCTTATTCATTGTTATATATGTGGAAATGAGAGCCATTCAACTGGTACACAGGCTGAAACTATTAATGTAGAATAATTTACTGTTAAATCCTATCGACTAACCCACTCTTTACTATTTAAATCACTTTTCTAGGCAGAAAAAAACAGAGCAGCAGCAATGGCAAATAATCTGCAGAAAGGTAGTGCTGGGCCCATGAGACTCTATGTCGGATCATTACACTTCAACATAACTGAAGATATGCTTCGTGGAATTTTTGAGCCATTTGGCCGGGTAAGTTTCTGGTTAGTTAGATGCATAATAAATCTACAGAGTGAATTTACTTAAAACCATTTGAAGTCACATTTTCAGCCAGTTGTGAAAAATGTTCCCAAATCTGAATAACTGAGGCTGTGTTTAAAGTGCTCTGATCAGCTTGAACCTGGAGTATAAAGTGTTGCCATGATCTTGTAACAGTGCTATGACTTAATCAATGATGTGTTACCCTTTTATTGGCTTTAACTACTTCTGTTGAATGCATGTGTACCCTGCCTACTCCTCTTGATCATATTTCAGTTTAACATGACACTTCGCCTTGGACTTCCATTAAATAGTCCTGAGTACATATTTATCCTGTTTGGCTAGTTCATTCTCACCTACTTTGATAATTTATTAATAATGTCTAAATATATAAATAAAATATTTTTATTAAATTTGAATTATTGTGGCTACTGTATACGAATGGTTATTCATGATCCCTTTCAGATTGAAAGCATTCAGTTGATGATGGATAGTGAAACAGGACGCTCCAAAGGATATGGATTCATTACCGTAAGTTTATAAACTTTGAGTATGATCTTTCATCAGGAAGGTGACTGTTCTTGGCAATGCCATAATTTGACAGGCACTAAAGTTAACAGCTTTATAACTGATGTAGATTTTTAAAAATTCCTTATCTTTCTACAGTTTGTTACAACAGTGATCTTCAGGGTATGTGAAGAGGGTTTATACTTTTTCTCATGATCTCACAACAGATTCTCCATATTTATCTTCTGTTAACCCTCATCAGTTTCAAGAAGGTATAGGGATTAAAATATGGTAGACCGTAAAGGGTAGCGCACATGCCCAGTAGCCCCATGGATTCTGATAGAACAGAGTATCATTGGAAATTTAACCATTTATAGATATTCAAGAACATTACTGTTGAAGAACTAGCTTTGGAAATTCAACATTTTATAAATCTCATATGTGGTGCTCCATTAACAGTCATTCAGGATGCATTCAGATCAGCAATCCATGGGAAATGTATTGGCTAAGAGGGAAACCAGATGTTACTCTTTGCACAGGTTTGCCACAGGGACTTGCAGCTATACTACAGCTGCAAGTCAGTCCTGGTAGCTACTACTGTGTAAAAAGCACAAACATAACTCCCTCCTCTCCACGCTAATTTGGCTGCCAAAACAACTGAGTGGCCACCGGGAGCGGGTGGAGGTGGTGTTGTTTGCTCTCCTGTGATACTGCACATGCATTGAACACTTGCACCTGCTTCCTCCCAGTGGGGCAAATAACATTCACCTCAGAACTTCCAGAGAGAACAAGGCAAGGATGCAAAAGCTACAACTTCCAGAGAAATAACCAGTGCATTCAGTGTTACTGATCTGGGGACTAATGACTTATTCCTAGTTCATATTCTTTTTAGCCAATATGTCTTTTCCACTTTTAATATAGGATGTTTAAATTTGGAAAACAAAGTCTATAGAAGGTGTGAGGTCACTAAAAATTGAATGTTACCAAAACCATTCTTGCAGTTAAAAATAGGAAGCAAACAAATTCCTTGGGATTGTCTCCATATCCATTTTAAAGCTGTTTCCTTTTTATTGGAATTCTTAATGGAGGCTTAACAAGCTTTGAGACCATTTTACAAAACAGAACCATATGTCTGCAAACCACGAGCTCTGTTATGCAGTTTTAAGAAGAAATGCATGGGCAGAAGGATCCAAGATACCTAGCTAAGTGGGGAAGAGATTTTGTCTGACCAGTAGACCCAAAGATGTGGTCTTAATTGTCTTAGAAAATGTATATGCCACCTCTCCAGAGATCTGCTCAGGGCAGCCCAGAATGTAAAACAGTACAATAAATTATCATAGCATAATTAGCATAAAATTATCAATAATAGACAACAAAGCAAGCCATTAAAATAAAAGCCAAGACATAAAACATCATAAATAGCTTAAATATGATATTTATAAAACAATCCTCAGGATTGAAACAACCATAGAACAGCTAAAAAAATGGAACCCCTCACTTGAAAGCTGAGCAGAAAGAAATGTTTTAGCTTGGTGCTTAAAGGAAAGGGAGGGAGGTGCTAGGAAAACTTACTTTCAACTCCCTTTAATGTAAGGGAGCTGCTGTTTGAAGCAGATACTAGTATAGGGTACCTTAACCAGCAATGGCTGGCTATCATACTATTAGTCAGTATCCATTTGCTTGCTGGAAAAAATGTGGCAAAACTGACTCGTGCTTTCATACCTTGTGGGAGCATATGTAGATACGGTGCTTTTGGATGCTAATTAGGTAACATAACAATAAAATAACAAGCTACTCCATTCCTGGAGAACTTTCTGCTGGTACATAAAGCTACCAAATTCTAGAGAGAAGAAATTCTGTTTATGACTCTGATCCATGCCAATAAAGGTTTTGAATTGAATTGAGAGAAGAAATTAGAAGGGACTGGGAAATCATGATAATTGACACAATCTCAGTGCAGCTGAGAAATATGGAAAACCCCAATTATAACTTGAATTTTTAAGAAAAAAGCTTTTGTCGTAATATAAATACAGTCTCTGTAGGCATCTATAAAATGTATAGTAATGTGTAGCAATACAGTGTACTGTTGATAATAACTTAATTGTAAGGTTTCACTTTGTCTATTTGAAGGCAGAAATCTCTGTATTTGTAAAATAGGTCTTGTTCCAATTTCTTCAGGGCCATCTGTTAATTTCAAATAAGTATAAATGTGTCTCAAAAAGGAGTGCTGAAACAGAGCCCTCTACAAATAATTGTCTAATTCAAATTTTGTGTTTTCTAGTTTTCAGACTCAGAGTGTGCTAAAAAGGCCTTAGAGCAACTGAATGGTTTTGAGCTAGCTGGTAGGCCAATGAAAGTTGGTCATGTAACTGAGCGTACAGATGCATCTAGTGCCAGCTCATTTTTGGACAGTGATGAATTGGAAAGGACTGGCATTGACTTGGGTACAACTGGTCGCCTTCAGTTGATGGCAAGACTAGCTGAAGGTAAGTGTCGTGATTAAAAAAGCAGCCTGGATTTTCTTTCGGTATTTTTTTGCTACCACATTCCATTCAACTAAGTTTTTCAGTCTAGAAGAATAGTCGGTGGGTAACTAGGGCATATATTGTAGGCCTTCTAGTTTAGTTGATTCTCATTATACATTCATTGTTTATTTTAGGTACTGGTTTGCAGATTCCTCCAGCTGCTCAGCAAGCTCTGCAGATGAGTGGATCACTAGCATTTGGAGCTGTGGCAGGTAAAATCTGTTCTCTAAAATAAAGAGGAAGTTACTTGTGTATTGATCTGCTAGTTGCTTAACCATTTTAGAAGATCTTGTCTCTTTTTGTTTTCTGCACCTCTACTAAATCACTATCAGACAAATTATTTGATGGGTTTCTCTAAGGGTTTATGTCAGGGTTGGCCAAACTTGCTTAACGTAAAAGCCACATAGAATAAACGCCTATGTGTTTGAGAACCGCAAGACACGAACAAATATACACATTTTTATTGAAAAATATGCAAATTTGCTTTTTATTAACATTAAATTAGACTACCAAAATAAAAACGAAAGGTAAAACAAGAAATTGATAATGATATTTATTTGTTTGCTAATGATATTTATTTGTTTGCTAATGATATTTATTTGTCTAAGAGGAAGAGAGACAGGTGGAAAGAAAGAACGAAAGGTGGAAAGAAAGGGAGAGAAATAAAGAAAGCAGATAGATGGGGAGGAAGAGGGAAGGAAGGAAAGAAGGGAGAAAGAAAGAGAAAGAAAAGTGGAAAGAAAGCAGATGGGGGAGGGGGAAAAGAGAAAGAAAGTAAATAGGGGAGGGAAGGGGAGGGTGGAGGGAAGAGAAAGGTGGAAAGAAAAAAGGGAGAAAGAGGGAGAGAAACAAAAGAAAGTAAATAGATGGGGGATGGTGGGAGTGGGAGGAAGGAAGGGAGAGAGAGAGAGAAACAAAGTGGGAGAAGGAAGGAAGGGGAGGGGAAGAAAGAAAGAAAGATGAAAAGAAAGTGGTAGAAAGAAAGCAAATAGATGGGGAGAGGAAGGAAGGGGAAAAGAGAAAGGGAGAGGTGAATAGAAAGACAAATGAATGGGAGGGAGGGAGAGGTGGAAAGAAAGAAACTTTAAATGGGTCTTCCAAGGATCTCCGGCCGGCCGGCTGGGCTTGGCTTGGAGAAGGGATTTAAAGAGACAAATGCCTTCGCCAAGCCAGCTGGCAGGGGCACTTTGAGAATGCATTTAAAGTTAAAGTTGCTTTCTTTCTCTGCCCCCCCCCCCCACATACCTCAAGTCTACTAAGACCGGAGGCATGCTTCCCCAGCTGCCCTGCCTGGAGCTGCACAATATGTGTGAAAGAGCCACATGCAGCTCTTGAGCCACAGTTTAGCCCCCCTTTGTTTATGCTGTCAACAGATTAGTTAGTGTATTATGATATTGGACTCTTAAGAAACCATTTATTTCATTAATTGTGCAGATGTAATGTCAAAACTGGATGATAACTATGTTGTGGAGCAGTCTGTTTATTTAGAAAACTTGTGTGCTGCCTGTCAAGGTGGCCCACAACTAAAACAGTAAAACAAGTTGTCAATAGAAACAAGCCAGGCTAGAAAAGAATGTCAACAAGAGCATTCTTAAATGATATTGGTAAACCAATTAGGCTAGGAGCATGCATTAGTTTTCACATATTGTTGGCATCTCTTCCGTTTCTTTTAAAAAACAACAACTCCATCCTCTGGCAATTACATATGTAGTTTCTGGGGCCCCCCATTCCACATTTGTGCTGTGAGGCTGATTAAAAATCCCCCCCCCCATCTGCTTTCCATTATCCAGCTTCTGATCATTATAAAAAGGCATAGATAGCCTATTGCAGAGGTTTCCAACATTTTTGATCCTGCTGGGACTTTTGGAATTTTGACAATGGGCTGTGGGCACAATCACAAAACTGGCTGCCACAGGAGACAGAGCCAGCCACACAATGTCAGGATCAAGGCTGTATACAAGTCTAAAAGCAACAAGTCTAAAAGCAACAGGCAGAAGCTCTGTTTAACAGAATACTTTTTAATCTGCACAGCCAGTCAGAAGACCTGCTGGGAACAAACTGCACCTACCAGCCCTGTCCTCTTTCTAAAAGCTCTTGGTGGGTGCCATGGTATCAACAGGTGCCATGTCGGGGACTCCTGGTCTACTGAATGACGCATTATTGAAATATTGACGAACACAGATTCACATTATTAATCTTGAATTGTATGTGTGATAAATTCTCTCTTATTGGTATCTGCCTGCCAGTATAGCAGCACACAATACTAATAGTACATAGAGGAATTAAAGAATTTTCCTCGTGCAGCATTTCTAAAGCTGTTTCAAGGACCATGGGGGGGGGGGCAATCTTCAGGTGGTCCATGAGCCCTCTGTAAGTTTGGAGGGGCTTTTATTGCCATCATGGTGATGTAAAAACCAAGCCAAAACAGAGTAATGTAAAAACCATTTTCCAGGAATGAGGGCAGAGACTCTCAGAGGATGGGAGCAGCATCAGCTTCCCTCTCCTGAAGGGTGGGAACTCCTGGAGCTGCCATCACTGGCATGTACCTGGCTTCCAGATCACCTCAAAGCACTGGCTGGAAAATGTGTTCTTTGGTTGCTGGAAACCAGTAGCTCAGTCCAGGGAACTCAGTCCAAGGAAGTACAGTTCTAATGCAGGTGTTATAATTCCTTCTGGTATAAAATTAAAACTAGTTTCCACACTAATTTCCAGTGCAGAGGTCTCGGCAGACAAAGAGAGATGCCACTTAGCATCCATAGACAATAATAGCCAATTGTTTTAATACCCAAATTCAGGTTTTGTGTGATGCTGGTGTCCCCCCCCCCCTTCCATTGGCCTCTCTGAAAATATTTGCAGGGCTCTTCCCATTGCTGTTCAGCTGGCCACTAGTTAGAAATTATTAACCAATGAGGAAATTCCTTGCTGCTTCTGGTGCAGACTTCAGTCATAGGGCAAGATTGGTTAGAACTTGACTTTTGTCTTGTGGCAGTATAGAATCAGCTACCTTCTGATACTGACCTTGTAGGCCAAGTACAGACAGTAAAAATATTTTTCTTAAAATTACATGTAGCCAGTCAGAGTCCTCATTATTTTGTGGATACCAAAGGTCAGAAGTCTCCACAGGTCACTTGTGATACTGCAAGAGCTTTTACAAAGTGTAGTCAATGTGTAGTGTTTGCTGCTGATGGTTAGTGTTTGTTAGTCCACAAAAAAAATGTAAAAATGAGAATCTTTAGATAGCTAAAGTTAGGGAACTGCTATATTAATGTGATATTTTATAGTATCGTGTTCATTCTAAGAAGATATTAAACTTTCTCTACAACTTTTTAGATTTGCAGACAAGACTTTCACAGCAGAGTGAAGGTGAGGCTGAATTTGATTTCTGTAATACATGGCTTAAATGATACCTGAGCTGTTAATTGATTCAAAGTTAAAGTCTTTAAGGAGAAGACAGATGAAAACATTGTAAATGAGCTCTAATGGTCAAGTGAATAGGTTGTGTTGATCACAGAAGCTTCAGAATATATCTTCCTCCTGAAAAGGCGGGGACCATATGCTTACAGAAGTCTCCAAGCATGCAGAAATGGTTTTTAGTATTATCAGATGTTTCTATATAACCTAGATTGTATAAAATTCTATATAAGATATGTGACTACTTAAGTTAAAAGGGGGAAATGCAAAACAGTAGCCTGGTGAAAAACGAGTATGTTTTGGGAGAACAGAAGGCCTTTGACCATGAGACAAAAGATACTATTTGATTATTTCCCTAGTTAAAGGAGTCAAATGTTATATAATTAAGAGCCCTCAGTCCCATTGAGTGTACAGTGAGCAGAGTCCAGACAATTACAACTGGAGTTCCTCTTATGGAATGGGGTTCTATTGTCTCCTCCGAATGACACAGTCCTGAAAACAAGAAAAATATTGCAGTAGCCACCTGCACAAAGTCAAGCTTATTGTATTCTCACTTGTGTGTCTACAAGATCTTATCCAGTTTCTGGGCACTATAATATATAGGGAGGTGTTGTACAAGATCTTCCACAAGTGAAACTGCTCTAAGTCCATTTATGTTTCTTCTTGCACATTCCTGAATTTAAGCCATTTAATGGCACATGACAAAAGCAAACTAAATATCTGTCTCTTATGCTTTGACGATACCAGATAATTTAAAATGGACTTGACTGGAGGGGGGAAAACGTTTTGAAAGCTTTGGGAGTTACTTTGGCGGGGGGGGGGGGGGGGGGGGGGTTTTGCGGGCCCAGTACCTCGAAGCCACCCTGGCCTCGCTGTTGGGGTCAGGCAGGGGCGGGGAAGAAGGCTTACCTGTGGTAAGTAAGGGGAGGGAGGGGGGAAGGAGAAAAGTTGCTGGATCGATCGGTGCTGTAGCAAGCTCTTTTAATGGATTTTCGCGCCCAGTCCCTCGGGCATGCATGCGCAGGAACCCCACCACGCATGCCCAAAGGGGTGGGCGCGGACATCCCGCCAGTTCCTTTCTTACCACCGTGTTTCTTACCACTCTTCTTTGTTGGTCTGATCGGTTCGCTGTTAGCTCACCTCACAGCTCTTAGGAATTATTTCCAAATTTTCTCTAACTTTATTTTTTTGTTTGTTTCTTCTTCAAAAACAGTTATTTTTTTTTCTTTTGAGGGGGAGTTTACCTCAGGCCTTCGGGCTACACCCCCCTCAACCGTTCCCTCTTCTTCTTTTCTTTTATGGAGAAGAAGTGGGGCTTTTTTTAATAGGTGCAAGGGTTGCGGTAGTAAACTTGCTCCTCCTGACCGTCATACCCTTTGCATTCTTTGTCTCGGAGAGTCTCATCGACCCGAATCTTGTCGCCACTGTGCTCGGTTTTCAAACCAGACCCGAAAAAAACGAGCTGCGTGACTTAAAGCGGCCCTGCTTGAATCGGCCCTACATCCTTCCTCAGTGATGGACGCCGAGAAACCATCAACCTCAACGGCTCCGGCATTGAGGCCTGCCTCCGTTATCGGCCAACCAATGCCGAAGCCTCCGGCATTGAAGGCGCAATCCTCCGCTTCCACACCGGTGAAAAAGAAGTCCAGGCCAAGTAAGGAGCAAAAGCCCGCAAAGAAGGGCTCTTCCAAACCCCTTAAGGTGGCAAAGAAGGGGAAAGTAGCGGTGGCTGCACTGGGTGATGCCCCTAAAGTGCCTCCCGCTCCAACAACAGTATCGATACCGGAGGCCCAAGCCCCTCCACCGATACCGACCATCCATGTCTTGGACTCCCCTGTCCACCAAATGGAGCGTCCTTACTCCGACATCGAAACGGTAGAGCTCCTAAGTAAAAAAATTGATGCAGAGCCTTCTCCGTCTCCTTCCCCGTTGTCGATGGTATTGGAAGCTCCCAACATCGATCCACGTCGGCACCGATATGCTTCATGCGATACGCAGCGTCACCCTCCACGTCTGCACAGTCAATCTGTAGATATCGACAACCAAGATTATACGGGCTCCTCTCAAAGACAGGCTGCCGCTTTGTCTCTGAGACGTCCACGGTCCAGAAGTCGATCCCGTCCCCCCCCCCAAGTCTTCTTGCCCCCCCCCCACCTCTGTCTTGGGATCAACAACAGATGTGGTATCTGTATGGGGCTTATTCACCACACCATCCTTGCCATGGTTGACTCTGGCGTGCTATTCCGACTAGGATCAATATTCATCCCACTCTGCTCATAGATCGAGATCGCCCTACAGGTCGAGACCTTCAGCATCTCTCTCTCGTCCTCCTGCAGACGATCCTTCCCAGCATAACTTGGAACACAGTCATCCTCCAAACCCCAGTCGTTTCCACCCCTGTCGTTCCACCAAGACCTTTTAACTGGTCAACAGGACACTCCTGTCCAAATGCCACACCAGGACTCCTCCGATTCAATTGAAGACAATTCCGATACCGAAGCATCTGAGGCTCTCAACTCCCCTGATCATAAGTCTCCTAATCAAGCTGTCGCTGATTATTTGCCCATCTCCCCATCCGACAATCTCACGTCATACACAGATCTTGTTAAAAGAATGGCCCATTCCCTAGGCCTCTCTGTCGTTCAGCAACACCCGCAGGTGACGGATGTGGTTTTTGACATCGTCCAGCTTGATACATCTTCCACTCTGGCATTACCCATGTTCAGTGTCCTTTTGCAAGCTACAAAGGCACCATGGGAGAAACCTTAGTCAGCCCCGGTGTCGACAAGATGACTGGACCGTATGTACAGAGTCCAAGAGACAGGGGCCGAATTCCTATTCTCCCATCCTCAACCAAACTCTATGGTTGTAACATCCTCCTCAAAATCTAAACGGACACACTCTGCACCTTCAGACAGAGAAAGTAAAAAATTGGACGCCTTTGGCAGATGCTTCTACTCCACCGGAGCATTGGGTGTCAAAACCACTAACTATCTGGCCTGCATGAGCAGGTATCAATATACTCTCTGGGAAAGGTTCTCTGAAATATTGACCCACCTCCCAGAAGACAAGCTTCAGGCAGCCAGAGTCATTCAAAAGGAGGGCATGGTGTTGGCAAAGCAGCATATCAACATCTTCCAGGACGATGGCCTCTGCTGTA